GGGGTCTAGCCCAGCACCACAGGCTTTTTGATAATGGCAGAAGGCATGGAAATGACACAATGTACCATTTATTCAATTGTCTTGCTCTTCTCTGTGTTAGAGGCAACCACTGTCTATTTCTATGGGAATTAACATTACTGGGAAGTACCCAGTGAGATATTTATATTGCCATTTGCAAGTTTATTATTTAAAAAAAAATTTAATGTTTATTTTTGAGAGAGACAGAGTGCAAGTTGGGGAGGGGCAGAGTGAGAGGGAGATACAGAATCTGAACCAGGCTCCAGGCTCTGAGCTGTCAGCACAGAGCCCAGGGCGGGGCTCAAACTCATGACCTGAGCTGAAGTCGGATGCTTAACCGACGGAGCCACCCCGGTGCCCCTCCATCTGCAAGTTTAAAGGTTCTTTGAAGCCAACTCAGTACAATGACTTTATACTTCTGTTTAGGGAAGTGGAGGCCTAAGATAGATTCATCAAGAAGCCAACCTTCCACTCATCTTCAGGCAAAGCCTGTTAGTTACAATTACAAACAGGAAAAGTTATCAGTCCCACAGCCTAAACCTCACAGGTAACATTTCAATACTAGCTTTGAAAGTGCTAAGCAGCTTATGTAGAATTATGGCAATTCTTCTTCCATCCTACCTTATCGTGTACAGGGCCGGTGCAAGGAATGATATTAAAAGGGTATTTCATTTCACCCCTAAAGATGACAAATTGAAATTGTTTTAAACAAATCCAAATGCAGTAAGAGGAAATGAGAAACACAGCCTCAATGTCACTTTGAAGGATGAACCTCAAAAGTGACATTTTATTCTAAGTTGTTTCTCTTCTTTCAGCATCTCCAGTGGTAGGAAAGGACACAAAGCTAGATCGACAGTATGACCTATAACATCTACAGATATAGCACAGAAGTAAATGTTTTCATTTTCCTCATAGCCTTTTATTTTCCAGATGAGGAGACGAAGGCACAGAGAAGTTAAATAATTTGCCCAAGGCCACACAACTGGTAAGAGGCAAGATTAGAGACGCAGCCAGGGCAATATTGTGTCAATACCACCTACAATAAGAAAACTTAGTAAGGTGTCGACCTGGCATTATTAAATTTTTTATTTACATTTATTTATTTTTGAGAAACAGAGTGAGACAAAGTGTGAGTAGGTGAGGGGCAGAGAGAGAAGACGACACAGGATCTGAAGCAGGCTCCAGGCTCTGAGCAAGAGGTCAGCACAGAGCCTGATGCGGTGCTCGAACCCACGAACTGTGAGATCATGACCTGAGCCGAGGTCAGAACGCTCAACTGACGGAGTCACCCAGGCGCCCCTCGGACTGGCATTATTAAAGAAGAGTTGCCATTAAAATTGCTCTCACGGTTTACCAACAAAGTCCAAAGTCTTAAAATGAGTTCCTAGGGAGTATTTCCTTCCCACAAATATTCAATGTGCCAAGTAGACATAAATGCTAACCCTATCACTCTTGTGCCTATTCTGCTCACCCACTAGCCAGCGTTCAAGAATATGGTGGCGGACACTCTAGGTTGCCTGCCAGCACAGCGGTCTCTCAACGTTTTCCAAAAGAAAAATATGGCAAAACCATTCTACTGAGGACCAATTTTCAACTTGTGAACCAACTTCAGTAAAAAAGCAAATGCACCAATGCAACACAACTGAAATGCACATGAAAATACTCAGAAGTGGTTAAAAAGTCAGAGAAAAAGGTACTGATATCAGATGTAAATCATGCCTACATGAAAAAAAAAAGCCATTTCATTTCAGGGAGCCCAAAAAGTGCCTGAAAAGGTAATAACACAAACAACAATCAAACAAAAACTAGCTACCATGTCATGTATTAACATATGACATACTATATTTTATTTCATGCAGAATCATGGAGTCTTACTAAGCTCAGACTTTTATAAATACTTAAGTTAGTTCATTATACAACTAGGGATAGAGAGAAAGTCCAACTTAATCTGAGATCTTGGTTCCATATTTTTCTGAAGAATATGCCCTAATATTACATGCATTCTTTGCTGCAACTATGACATATGACATACTTGGTATAAATGGCCTTAATTCTAAATAAAGTGTTGCCAAAATTCTAATGAAACAAAATTTAACTCAAATGCAGGATTTAAGAAATATAGGCTTTAAAAGAATGTTAAATGTTGATCGTACTTTTACGAGAAGGTCTTAAAGATACTCATGGAGGAAACAATTTAGATCAATCAGTTGGCGAGCCTGGGTGGCTCTGTCAGTTAAGCATCCAACTTTGGCTCAGGTTGTGATCTCACAGCTCATGAGTTCGAGCCCCGTGCCAGGCTCTGTGCGGCTAGCTCAGAGCCTGGAGACTGCTTCAGATTCTGTGTCTCCCTCTCCCTCTGTTCCTCCCCCACTCGCACTTTGTCTCTCCCTCTCTCAAAAATAAACATTAAAAAAAAAAAATTAAAAGATCAGTCATATTAAAAGTAAATTGGTGGAATATGGGTGAATTTTATATATAAAATATGCCTCAATAAAGTTGCTTAAAAAAAAAAAAAAACAGGTAAGAGAATGTCCAGTACTTTACTCTTTTACTGTTCATCACCCAAGATAAATATTTACTTGAAGGCAGAGGGTCACAAACGTCAATACTTGAAGGGTTCAGACAAGGGAAGGTAAATTTATGCCCCCACATCTAAAGTGAACAGGCACTGAATGGCTCCAGTGGATTACCATACACAAGGAGGTACCTAATGATTCCAGATCTTCTGATTTTTCAAAGGAAGTGGAAATATAGATTTTTGTAAATTAAAACACGGGAAACACTGTATGAGTCACAGAGAATGCCTTTATAGATCAAATCTACCCCAAGGCCACCATTTTGCAAACTGAGCAGAAGAATACTTTGGATACACTGTACTTGTTCTTTTGTAAGATATACTTCACGACACAAATTTTAAAAATGTATATTAAAAATAAGGTTTGAAAAAGAATACTTTTAGTAAGAAAACTGATGGGCCAAGAAAAGCTTTTGTAATGAATATGTTTAGCTTTCTTTGTGAGTCAAATAGCATGCAAATTTACAACTATTCCAAAGACAGTGGTAATAGTAACTTGGGATTTGAAGTGAGGTTCTGGAACCCAAATGCTGATACTCCAAAGTAACAATCCTAGCCAAGAAAGATCCATTGCCCAGTAGGTAAGACCCACTGCCCAGCCCCCAGGTGTGGAGGCTTACTACTAAAGATACTGGTTTTCAAAGTCAGTAACTGACCAAAATTATTCGTATAATAAAATAATTATTTTAATGAAGTATTTGAAATAATTTTAAACATTTATACACAAATATGGGAATATGCTGCACTTTACAAAAAAATAAAGCTAAGCATTTAAATATACAAAAACAACTTTAGGTATAGATCTCTTCTGAAAGTTTCTCTTTTAACATATACATAATTTATAGCATTTTACATAACTTGCTGAAACAAAAATGGCCAATTTAACATTTATTACAGTATAGAACATGGCCACAACAGTCCCCATGGGAAGAACAGGATAAGGAGTAACATACCAGAGGTGTGTTCTTTTCCCCCTGAATTCTTTTTCTAAGAAGCACAGCTTTCCCATTTTTAAAAAATCTTCTTGGAGGATTTACTTGTTCTTTCTGTATGGGATTCTAAATACAGCTATTATTTTTCACCAACTACATGCCACAAAGGTGGAATTAAAAGAAAGAAAAGAGGGTTTGCTTTACAAAACATCAGCTTCCTCCTCAGGTGGGGGGAAAAAATAATATATATATATATATATATATATATATATATATATATATATATATATATATATATATATATATATATATATATTGCTCCTCATAATACATTTAGAGCCAAGATCTCCAACAATGAAATGTTGACATTACCTTTTGAGTATAGAATCCAAAATGGAGTCCTATTGTTAAAAATTTCTAATCATCGATTAGGATTTTTTAAATGCAACAAGATGCTTAAAACTTGCGGTAATGAAAAGGATTTTAGAAAACTATCCTTCTTGAGATTTAAAACAATACACAAAACAAAAAATAACGACTTCCTTTTGAGATACTGTACATTTGAAAATGTTTGATACATTTTCCTTTTTTGGTTGGGCTGTGATTTTGTCCTGTCAACAAAACGTGTACCGGTTGCTCTGGAGTTCCAATCCCACCACTGGAACGGAGGACGCATGTGCAGCATGGTTCCTATTCTGAGGTTCCACTCTCATTTTCCCCTCCTCAGTTTGAACGCAGTGCCCCATCATTCTTTTCAATACTTCCCACCTTTTCCACTTTTCAGTGAGGTATATCAGCAGCTTCCATTTTAAAGTTTCCCTGACAAGGATGTACCCTCACTTGGTATCAGAAGCAGCATATGGTGGCGACCCAGAGAGGAGCCACCTTTGTGGGGACAGGCACAAACTATCCCCATCTGTCTCCGTTTTGACAACACTGGGACTCGGCTGACCAAAGTCACTACAGATGCTGTGGCTTGTCACCTGCAACTACAGAAGGTGACTATCACAATTAGCTAAGCAACTTCTGATCCCAGCCTAGAAAACCTAACACTTTGAGACAAGTTCAGCAGAGGATGAAATATAATCTTGGAAAGTCGGGACTCCTCCTTTCTTTCCCCTGCATCGTAATGCAGGCTGTGTTCGGGAAAGACACCTCGCCTACAGTCCAGCAAATGAAGCAGGTGGTAACAAACAGGGCCTTAACTTACTGTAATTAAATCCACAGGTAGGCAGAAGCCTATGTCTGTGTGAACTGTATTTCATAACCAATTTCCAGAAGACAAAGTTGAATTCTAGTCATTAAGAACCCTGTGGGATGTGTAAGTAAGATTTAATAAAAGTTTATAACTGTAAACAATGATCTTCCCTATTGGTGATTATTTTCCAGAAACTGAAATTTCAGGAGAGTGCAACAATGCTCTTTATGTCTTCTTTGGCAGTAAACAGCAAGGATCTGGATGGAGACTGGAGTGGTCACTTCAGAAGGGCAAGGTACAGAGCTCGAGAATACTTCATCTCTCTTTCCTGTTCCATACAGAATATCAAGTCCCTGAGACAGATTCTTGTGATTCTTGGACGAAGCAACTGTTTGGTGGCTGTCAGGCTGGATGTCCCAGAAGCAAGAAGATTGTCTTTTAAGCCCTAAACAGAATAGAGAAAAAAGTTTAAAGTAACCAATCTTTCATAAAGGGAAAAACTGTCTTCAGCATGGAAGAGCTACTAGCCTCTGGCCACTGAGTTAGGTGCTGGAGAGAATACAATAACGCAGCAGGCTCAACCCTGTCCCCAGAAGCCCCATCTCTTGGGGAAGGCCAACTGCCCCCACACCTCATTCAATCTTTCTCTCTCACCTGGACCAGGGCCACAGCCTCTTAACTGATTTCTCCACTTCCAGGCTCTACTTCATTCCATTCTTTGCTGTGCATTGAAGGCCAGACTTTCTTCTTTAAAGGTCTTAGACAAAAGTTTCGGGATTGATGGATGTGGTCATTATTTCAATTGCAGCGATGATTTCATAGGTATATGTATATATAAAAATCTATCAGACTGAATACTTGAAATGTGTGCTGCTTTTTGTATGTCGATTATAAAAATAAAAGAAAAAGCCTTACATGATTCAGGTCCTACCATTCTGTGGTTCAAAAATCTTCAATGGCTCCCCCCACCCTGTCCAGACTAGCTACCTGAGCACTAGTTATGACAGCTATGTTAATCACTTCCCACACATGATCTCTTTTCTTTCATGTAACATTGCAACAAGTTACATGGGTGCTGCCTCCATTTATCAAATGAGAATACTGAGCTTAGATAGGTTAAGCGACCTGTTCAGAGTCACACAGCAAAACTGAACCGGGACTCAATTTCTAAGTTGATCTAAAGTGAGTGCTCTTATGGGAATGCAAGCTGGTGCAGCACTCTGGAAAACAGTATGGAGGTTCCTCAAAAAACTAAAAACAGAACTACCGTAGGACCTAGCAATTGTACTACTAGGCATTTATCCACGGAATACAGGTGTGCTGTTTTGAAGGGACACATGCACCCCCATGTTTCTAGCAGCATTATCAACAATAGCCAAAGTATGGAAAGAGCCCAAATGTCTATCGATGGATGAATGGATAAAGAAAATGTGGTATATATATATATATATATACATACAATGGAGTATTATTCGGCAATCAAAAAGAATGCAATCTTGCCATTTGCAACTACGTGGATGGAACTGGAGGGTATTATGCTAAGTGAAATTAGTCAAAGAAAGACAAAAATCATAGGACTTGACTCATATGAGGATTTAAGAGACAAAACAGATGAACATAAGGGAAGGGAAACAAAAATAATATAAAACAGGGAGGGGGACAAAACAGAAGAGACTCATAAATATGGAGAACAAACGGAGGGTTATGGGAGGGGTCATGGGAGGAGGGGATAGGATAAATGGGTAAGGGGCACTAAGGAATCTACTCCTGAAATCACTATTGCACTATATGCGAACTAATTTGGATGTAAATTAAAAAAAAAAAAAACTTAAAAATAAATAAAAAAATAAAGTGAGTGCTCTTAGTTATTACTGTGTTATATTATCTACCAAATCAGGTACAAACTCATCACATGGCTTCCCTGCAGGCTCACTTTCCACTGTGCCTTTACAAAAACAAAGGCTGGAAGAAGAAACGAAAAATAACAGAATTCTTAAAGGATAATTTTGTCAAGGTGAAATCCTTTATTCTCTCATTCTTTTTTTTTTAACCATACTTTGTTCCCAAAAACATCTTGATAGGGTTGTCGACCCTCCTTTCACCCTCCAAAAGACTCACATTTATATTTCCGTAACATAGGAGGCAAATCTTCTGGTTCTGTAACTATCCTTTTATAACCATCGAATTTTGATTATTCCCTCTATATTTTTGTTTTGTTTTGATGGAGGAGAAAGAGATCCTCTTTAAGGAATACACTTTGGTCAAAACAAGTCAATTTAATTCTATGCATGTTCACAGAATGACTGAGGGGCACTTTACCTGATGGTCAAACAAAATCTCCTTAGGAGATGCTTTGCAGTTTTGAGGGAATATGATAGCACAATCACATTTCTATACTCATAAGGTTAAACATGTTCAAAAGGATCCATGGAACAAATTTTGGAAAGTCGACATGTTTAAAAAGGATGAAAACTTTACTCTTGGCTGCACAATTGCCTGGCTATTTGTCCTGGAGCCAAGCTATGGGACAGCCAGTCTTTCACCACTTCTGCAAGGTTCTCAGTAATGAATGCGCATACAAGTGTCTGCCTCTGTGACTTTCACTAAAGCATGGCAGTCAAGCACTAGCACATTCCTCTTCCCGTTACCACTTAGAGGTGGTATAATATAGATATAATCCTAACTACTGTGAATTATCACCATCACAATATTTTCCTAAGGGTTTTGCAGAATGGACCTGCCAACTGAGCTTTGGAAAACTGGATAAAAAACACACATTAGGAAGAGAGTTAATAAAACATGTCATGGGCAGTGAGTGGCAATTTTGCTGTATATAGGAGTTATCTGTTTATAGTACATTTAAATAGAGGCATTTTCTTAGCCAAAAATTAGATATAATATGCTAAAGCTGAATCGATAGTTGTTTACAAACGTTTCCTATTAAGAGTTTGCCTAAAATCAATCATCTAATGTTTTATATGGATTTTGAAATGTAAATGGCTAGATGGATACACAATGTCTTGGCAAATGTAAATACCCAGAAATATGTCACATGTCCACTGAAAGACATGTATGAGAATGTTTAGTACTATTATTTGTAATAGACCTAAACAAGAAACCATCCAAATGCCCATTAAGAATAAATTGTGGAATGGGGCGCCTGGGTGGCGCAGTCGGTTAAGCGTCCGACTTCAGCCAGGTCACGATCTCGCAGTCCGTGAGTTCGAGCCCCGCGTTGGGCTCTGGGCTGATGGCTCAGAGCCTGGAGCCTGTTTCCGATTCTGTGTCTCCCTCTCTCTCTGCCCCTCCCCCGTTCATGCTCTGTCTCTCTCTGTCCCAAAAATAAATAAACGTTGAAAAAAAAAAAAAAAAAGAATAAATTGTGGAATACTTACACAAATGGAAAACTACACAGCAGTAACAAACTGAGTAACATAGATGAATATCACAAAAATGAAAGGATCCAAACACAACAAAATATAGTCTGATTCCATTTCTATAAAGTTCAAAGCTACAGAAGTCAGTACAATGATTCCCCTTAGGGGAGAGGAGTAGTGGCCAGAAAGAGATAGGGCAGGGTTATCTGGGGTTCCGGTGACGTTTTCTGTCTTGACTGGAGTATTGTCTACATGGGTGTGTTTGTGCTGTGAAAATTCAGTGAGCTTTGATTTGTGTGCTTTTCTGCATCAATGTTATACTTTAATTAAAAAATTAAAATGCTCAAAAAAACACCCCACAAACCCTTGTCCAGGTAGGAAATAAAAAAGAGAGCAAAGAGGGAAAAAGCGGAAAGAAATAAGGCAAAAATGTTAAACAGAAAAAAATTTTTAAAACCGAATCATCTGGGTAAAGAACAAAGGGGTCACAGTTCATGCTTGTCATGTGATAACCCTAAAGGATTCAGGAGAAAGAGCCATATTACAGCTGCCAGCACAGGGTTGAAAAGAAGGTCATTCCAACAGGATGTAGCAGAAGGCCTGAGGCAATGTTATAAATGAAACAAACCCCAAGGGACATTCAGTAACCCAACAGAAATGTCTTTCATAATTCACAACTTTACAAAGGTGATAGCATCCTCTTCCCCCAAATAGTGACACACTTCGAAAGTCAATCTTTCTTGAACATGGATACAAAAATATAGCATTTTTATTCCTATGCCTATGCTTTGGGGATGTCTACAGTCTGACTTGTCACTTTCACAATGACCTGGGCAGAATAATCAGCTCTCAATTATCCATGGTCAAGAAAGTGGATTGTGCACAGCTAACTTAAAGCTATAAAAAAACTCAAACCTGCCTTTTCACCAACATCTTTAATTTTCTCTCACCTCACTAAGTTTCTTCTCCCACCTCACCAAGTCTAGGACTGATTTCTGGTCACATTACATTATTAATGCCAAAGAACACTAACGTGGTTACGAGATCAGATTTTGTATGAAGGAAAAAGAAGACCCTTGTGATAATGTATTAATTATTTCTGATATAGGGTGTTTTCCTAACCAACTTTCTACATGAGGATATTCCGTAACTTGGATTCTTCACATGGATGAAAATCAGGTGAAATGAAAGAGAAAGATCAAAGAAAATGAAAGAAATAATACACTTATTACCAAGTGCACAACAGATGTTCTTGAAATCATAATCAAAACTAAATGTTCACACACTCTACCACTGCTAGGTCAATTAAGTTATTAGCCTTCACTAATTTGTTCAATTATATCACTAAACAAAGTTTCTTATTTTTGAGGAACTCTTCTCCTCTAATAAGAAAAAACTGAACACTATAAGTTACCAATTTCAGAGAAATAACACTGTTTTTAAAATGACACTAAGTATTTGGGTGCCTCGGTGGCTTAGTCGGTTAAGTGTCCAACTTCGGCTCAGGTCCTGATCTCATGGTTTGTGAGTTTGAGCCCCAGGTCGGGCTCTGTGCTGACAGCCCTGAGCCTGGAGCCTGCTTCGGATTCTGTCTCTCTCTCTCTCTCTCTCTCTCTCTCTCTGCCCCTCCCCTACTCACACTCTGCCTTTCTCTCTCTCTCAAAAACAAACATTACAAAACATTTTTTAAAAATGACACTAAGTACTTAAAAATAACCAGTTATCCAAATTTTTATTCCCTCAACTTACTGGAGTGGGTGCTGTGAAGTGAAACCTTTCAAAGTTTGTCTCACTTCTTTTTCCATATTTTCCTCAATTCTATTCCTGCTATATTAACTGAAAAGCAGAAATCACATTTTTCTGAGTTCAGGGGCTTCCTGAATCCTGCTGAAGTTCTCAGTGACTTCACGTGGGCCTCTGTTTCGAAAAGCTGCCATCCAAGGCAACTGAGCTTCCTGCCAGCTCACACACAGATGCAGCTGACAAATTCCCTGGGTTACTGGACACTTAAAGATATACAGGAGGATTGAACAGTGGTGAGCCCTGGTTGTCTCCTCCATTAGCAACCTCAGACAAATTACTTAAATTCTCTGTGCCTCAGTTTCCTAATCTGCAACACAGGAAGAGTAACGGTAATTATCTCATAGGGTTGTCTTGGGGATTAAATGAGAGCAGTGCCTGGCATGCAGTATACATTCTGTAAATGCTGAACCTTCTTATAATAAATTAATTCATTAGTCAGTTTAGAGGTTTGAAGGTTTATAAACAGGAAACAGTATAATTCTAGTTCCAGATCTTTCCTGACACCCCGTAGTTAAGTGT